CAAATAGCCCTTTGACACCCAATGTTTATAGCTTCTTTTTTTAACATTAGCAAAGTTCTAAATTTTTATGTTAATCAATGGATCAATCTTTTTCTTTGGTAGAGAAAGTAAATTTTAAGTTCTGAAACTCTGTTAGTAAGCTTTTAAGGCATTGTGGGTTGCCTGGCTAACCTCCTGAAAGGGCCTCCTCCACACAGGGGCCTCTCCCAAGAGAGGGCCTCTAGCTGGGGTGTCATATTTCAACATTCTAAGAAAGAGGCTGCCTGGAGGGTCTATATTTAGAGTATGACGCCCCAGTGGGAACAGGTGGGTGCCTGGGGACTAACCCCTGCATATTTTGTCCCTGAGTTCTGGGATTATTTTGAGGGGTTTGTGAGGGTGGTGCAGTGAAGTCATTGGGGAAGACAGGGAGTGAAAAGGTCTCTTCCTCCTGGGGACTGCTCCGGGTTCTGTAAACTTTGCTCCTCCATCTGTGAGGGGGAAAGGGCACTGATGTCAGTGGCGTTGCAACAATTCTCAATAATCAGCAGACCCTCATCCCTATTGCCACTGGAAAATGCTGAACACTCACCACAGCTACGGGGCTATGGTGACATATAGTACAGGAAGTGCAGAACCCAGGGAGAACTCACCAGTATCAGGACAGGATGAAGATTCCACCTGCTAAGCCTTTCTATCCATGTGATAGCTATTGTTCCTTTTGTGGGTGTGATGAGAGTGATATTGAATCCAAAAACGCCCAGCCTTGGATGGAAAACAGGTTAACCTGTGGTCACTAGTTTGTAAGGTACTGGGTTCAAAGGAGTTCAGTCTTCATAAAAATCATCCAGGGCGGTCACCAAACAGGAGATGGTAAATCCAGCCAAAGCTTCAAAAATTTTCATTTCTTTTTGTCAAACTACCAAGATTAGAAATCTGAACATCTTTCCAAAGAATAATTTGTCGACTGCATTGAAAAAAGTGCTGGCTTTGTTTAGGAAAATTTTGTATTTAGGATGTCAGTAATTACATCTATTTTGAAAGGTATGAAAGTGTACAGCAACTAGAAACCCTTTTTAAAAGTGTCACAAAATTGTGTAAACGAATGGCTCTTTTGTTATTTTTACAGCCTGGATATTTTTTTATGGCGAATGAAAATGTCTTTACTACATTTCCCCAACTACAAAATAAATAATAAAATATTAACAGAAAAAAAGAATACATAAAAGAAAGTGAAGGCTCTACTTGCTCTGTTTTCCTCTTTCTCTAGTCAATTTGGTGTTGGAGTTACTGTACTAAGGGAAGGCAGGTTGTATAGAGAGCTTCTGGGAAGCACTGGCATTGTAGCCTAAGAGGAAAAGAATGGATTCCTCAAAGATGTAGAAAGGCTACACAGCCAAGGCCTGGGAGGGGGTGGGGGTACAGACCCTTCCTAGTAACGAGAGACCAGAAAACTCCAACCGCTAGATGGTGATGACACTTGTGGGCGCTCAGATTGGAGAGCTCCAGGATGAGTGACAGGGCGGGGCGCGCTGGGGCTCCGCGTACAGGCGCCAGGAGGGGGTTGCCTGTGCGTGCTGAAGGGGGTCCTGTTGACTGCCTTCCGACCGGTGGGGGGTTGTGAGGAGGAGGGCGAGCGATGACGCGCGGCCCTCACGTGACCCAGAGCTGCAGAGCGACGCAGCCTAGGGTGCAGTCGTCACTCGCGTCTGGCCACCAGCTCCCCGCTGCCCTGCGCGCGGCGGGCTGGCATCGGGCCCGAGCCGAGCCGAGCGGAGCCGAGCAGGTAAGCGCCCCGGGGCCCGTGCACGGCGGCCCGGCTGGAGGCGGCCCGTGGACCCGGTGGCGCTGCGGAAACGGACTGGGCAGGGGGCTGTCGATAGAGGCTCAAGTTCAAGGAGCATTTTCCCCTGATTCTCCCTAGCCCTCCAGCCCCGGGCTCAATCTGGGCAGGCTAACCCCGGGCTTTGACAGGGCGGTTGGTGGGGAGAGCATCTCAGGAGGGAAATAGAGATTAAGATGCCCATCGTCCCTGACTCTAATCACTGGCCGCCCGCACATGTCCACTGGCTTCCTGCTCCTTTCAGAGGAAGGGACGCGCCACGGTGGCGTTTGCACAGAAAATGGTGGGCCTGAGTGCTTGGACCGCGGGCTTGGTAGGGGTGGTGTCTCAGAGGAGGGGAGGGACGTTTGACAACCGGATTCCGGAAAGGAGAGTGTTGGGATCTGTGGCCTTGGTGCTGGTCAAAGCACTCAGTGCCTTTACTCTCTCCTTTCGGACAATAGTTCGGTGTGGCACTGTGGTGAGGCGAGGGAAAACCGAGACGGAGACAAGAGATCTGCAGAAGATCTATGGAGGTTAGTGCGAGCACCGACGTTGTGAATCGTTGAAGTTCTGCATGGATTCGATGACACAGCCACTTAGGCATTGTTATATTTGTGCGGTTAGTGCGAGCACCGACGTTGTGAATCGTTGAAGTTCTGCATGGATTCGACGACACAGCCACTTACGCATTGTTATATTTGTGTATATATATACATATATATTGTGTTTGTATGATTAGGATGTGGGGTGGGGCTAGCCTGGGACTTTACCTAAGCTTTGTTTTATCAGGCTTCAGACCTCTCATTTAAATTCTGTGGTGAATGCCAATAAAGACAGAAAACTTTTCTACAGATCCTTTTATTTGTGTGTTAGATAATACTGAGAAAATACGAATTATTGTGTAAAAGGTCGATACTATTGTTTGTTTGCTAGAGCCTTTGTGAGGGATGGGATAATGATCTGCAGAGGCAAAAGCCCTCCTCCACACCTGGTATCTTGTGCTTAGACTCCTAGAGATTGCTTTGAGGGAAAGCAGATGGCAGGCTAAATTCTAAAGTCATGGGATCTGAGGCCTCCACCTCTCCCGCCATACTCCAATTTTCCAGACAGTCATGTCTTCCTGACCATCTTGATAAAGGAAATGGTGGACTTTTGGGGGAAGATCTAGAATTCTACAGGTGGTTTTAAAATATTTTTTCTCCTTTTCTCCACATTTCCTTTTTCTCTCTCCCTTTTTTGTTCTACCTATTTCAGTGCTGGTAAAGCACTGGGCTATTTCGGTCTCTAAAATCCAGAAAGGCAGATCAGAGGGACACAAGTGCTAATGCTAGAATATCACAAGCACTCAGCACTCCCCCTCTCCTTTTTCTTTGTCTCTTCCTAGGTCTTCTCATGTGTTTGAAGTAGGGCTTTTTACTACTGGAAGCAAGGGAAAGAGGGAGAGACTGTCCTGGAACAATGGAGGTTGATATGAAGGTGGGTAGTGCCTGGGGATGACAAAAGGGTGGGCTGAGCAGATGACGGAAACTTGAAAGGGCTTCAGTGGATGGCACTTCTGTCTCTTACACATGGCTGCTTTCCACAGTGCTGCAGTGCTACCTGTTCATTTCCGTGCAGGAAATGGGAGGAATATTTGGGGGATGGTGGACTAGACTGTGACAGAGAAGACTCAAGATGGGATCGCAAGAAGGGACACATTGTTAAACTGGACCAGGGCTCTGGCAAGGCAGACTTTGGGGTCAGGAATTAGGGATCTTGTCTGTTCTACCGAGGGCACAGTCTCCATTGCCTCCTGTTTATTTCCTTGTCCATAGATCTGCCTGCATGTCTGCTTCAGAGCTTGAGATCACCAGAAGCAAAGGAACAAGGAGGAAATTATCTCTGATCAGTAGAGACTGGTAAGAGGGCAGGAACAGCCTGGGTATGCCGATAGTGTGGGTTAGTGGAGACCAGTGTGCATTCCATAAGGGACAGTCTGGAGGGTCTTTCACTGTTTTTCAAACTGTCTTTCTTGTTATTCCTAGTACTTACCCCAAATCCTCATCTTAATTTTGGTATATGGAAAAGAGGGTAACAATGCCTGAGGGACTGGGGTGAACTGAGGGGGTAAGTAGATAGCTTGCTAATAATATGACTATTTCATCAAGAGCAAACTCCATTCCTATTCCTTTGTCTGCCTTTCTCTAGGTCCAAAGATCTCATGAATCTGTATATCTACTTTAGGGTGCATCACCAAGCAAAAGAAGGAAAGAAGAGGAAATTTCCTTCAGTCATTACAGGTTGGTATAAAAGAGTGGGATCCTGTGGGAATGGGGATCAGGGTAGATCCCATAAAAATTTAGGTCTGAGAATTTCTGTGCTTCTTCCATTCATCACCAGTCCCCTGCCATCCTTGTCACCATTCATGTGGCATGTGAAAATGGCTGGGCATTGGGGAAGGCCAAAAGAAGATGAAATAAGGAATGAAAATTTTGCTAGTCGTTCCCCTTTCCCACTGAGCACGTGATTTCTACCTGTTCTTACTCCTCTTTGTACCTAGATAGATACATAATGCAGTAGAGTTGGAAGAGACATTTAAATTCATTTCCTTCTTCCACTTCTAGGTCTACCTCCATTGGCAGCTCTACTGGCCTTTAAGTGGTTAAAGACCGTTCCCCAGACATATCGCCCTCTTTCCTAGCCAGAGTGAGCCCTCCTGTACATTGTCCGTGCCTTCAGCAGGGGTGATTACATGGGCCGCGTTCAGGAGGTGGGCTGGGCAACTGCAGGACTGGTGATCTGGGCTGGCACCTGCTACTGCATTTACAGATTAACCAGGGGAAGTGTTCAGAGTGTGAGGAGACGTACCAGAAATGGGTCCAGAGTCAAGACAGAGACTATGGTTGAGGTACAGAACCAGACCGTGGCCACGAGTGAAGCCATGGCTGGAACAGAGTTTGAGACTAGAGCCAAGACTGAAGCAGAAACTGGAGAAAGAGGTGGGCCCATGGCTGAAGTAGACACCAAGGTCACTGTTTTAGCTAGACCCAATGTCAACTCTCAGGCCGAGGCAATGCTTGAGGAAGAGACAGAGACTCAATGTGAGACCAATTCAGTGGTGGAAACAATGTTCATGGCAGAGGCAGTTACTTTGACTGAAGCCAAAGCCAAGGAAGTGACCTTGAAAGAGGCAGTGACACAAACTGATGCTGAGGCTGGGGGAGCAGGCAAGAGAGAGGCAGTGACTCAGACCAAAGCTAAAGCTTGGGCAGTGGCTGACAGGGCAGAGGTCAAGAAAGAAGCAGTGACCCAGACCAAAACAGAAGCTCCTGTATTGGCTGAAAAAGAGACAGAGATTAACAGAGTAACAGTGACACAGAGTGAGGTCTTGGCAGTGACCAAGGAAGTGGTCAAGATTGGAACCATGAACAACACTGGAATTGTGGCTGAAGCCAACATAACAGCACTGGAGGACACCGTGAGTGTGACTAGGACTCAGTCTGAGGCTAGGCTTGGTGCCACAGTTGATGCTAAAGAAAATCCCAATGGCATGTCCATGATAGTGGCTGGAGTGGACATGAAGTCCTATGCACAGCCTCAGGCTGTAGCCCTGATCCAAACTGATGACATGCTTGGTGCTGGGGTTGAGGACAGTGGGAATCTTGAACCCATGCCTAATGCAGAGCCTGGGGTAGATACAAAGGCCTCTGCTCAGCCTCATATTGTTGCCAGCGTTCTGGCTGAAGCCATGCCAGAGGCAAGGAATGATGCTTGGGATAATATGAATGTCATTTGTAAGGCAGAAGCAGAGGCAGACATGAGAATTTGTGTAATACAACCTCAGAATGTGGCCATGACACAGGCCGAGGCAATGTCTGGTGCCAGGGTTGATGGCACGGAAAATTCCAATGCCATATCTAAGGCAGTGACTGGTGCTGACATAGGAACTGCTATCCAGGCACAAGATGTAAGTAGTGCACAGGATGAAGCCATGCCTGATGCCAGGGTTAAGGGTAGAGGTAATAGCACCGTCATGGCTAAAGCAGGGACCAGGGAAAACACACAGACCAACTTGCAGTCTGAGGCCTTGCCTGATACTGGGGATAAGACCAGAAGCAATCCCGCTGACATGGCTAACACAGAGGCTAATGCAGACATATTGTCCTATACTGACCCTCAGCCTGTGGCCAGTTGCCAGGGTGATGCCCTGCCCGATGGCAGAATCAAGGCTAAGGACAATGCTAATACTATGTCTAAGGAAAGTGCTCAGGCTACTGCCCAGAGCCAGTGTGAAGCCTTACCTAATAGTAAAGGTAAGGCTAGAGGCAAAGCCAAAGCCAAATGTAAGGCAGGGGCTGGGACAGATATGAAAACCTGCACACAGCCTCAAGCTGGGACCAAGACCCAAGCTGAGACCTTGTCTGATTCCAAGGCTGATGACAAGAGTGATCCTAATGCCATTTCTAGAACAGGGGCTAAGGCAGATCAGAAGGTCTGTGGTCAGCCCCAGGCTGTGGCCAATTGCCAGAATGAGGCTTTGTTTGGTACCAAGAATAAGGTCAAGGGCAATCCAAATGCTGTGCCTAAGGCAGAGGCTGAGACAGCTACAACAGGCTCTGCCCAGACCCCTGCTATGGCAAGTTCCCAGGGTGAGACCATGCCTGGTGCCAAGAATAAGGTCAAGGGTAATCGTAATGCTGTGCCTAAAGCAGGGGCTGGGCCAGATACAATGGGCTCTGCCCAGTCCCAGACTGTAGCTAATTCCCACAGTGAGGTCTTACCTGGTGCCAAGAATAAGGTTAAGAGCAATCCCAATGCTGTGCCTAAGGCAGAGGCTGGGGTGGGTGCCTGTTCCCAGTCTGTGGCCATTTCCCAGGGTATTGCCTTGACTGGTACCAAGACGAAGGTCAAAGGCAATTCCGCTGCTATGTCTAAACCAGAGTATGGGGCAGGTATAACGGCCTCTCCCCATGCCAAGGCTGGGGCTAATTCCCAGGGTGAGACCTTGCCTGGTGCCAAGAATAAGGTCAAGGGTAATCCCAATGCTGTGCCTAAGGCAGAAGCTGGGGCAGGTACAACAAACTCTGCTCAGCTCCAGGCTGTAGCCAGCTCCCAGGCTGAGGCCTTGCTTGGAGCCAGAAATAAGGTCAAGGGCAATTCCAGTTCTGTGCCTAAGGCAGAGGCTGGGGCAGGTACAATACTGGCTGTGGCTTCTTCCCAGGCTGAGACCTTGCTTGGTGCCAGGCATAAGGTCAGGGGCAATTCCAATGCTGTGCCTAAGGCAGAGGCTGGGGCAGGTGCAAAGGGCTCTGCCCAGTCCCAGTCTGTGGTCAGTTCCCAGAATCAGGCCTTGCTTGGTGCCAGGAATAAGGTCAGGGCCACTTCCAATGCTGTGCCTAAATCAGGGGCTAAAACAGGTACAAAGAGCTCTGCTCAACCCCGGGCTGTGGTCAGTTCCCAGAATGAAGCTTTGCTTGGGGCAAGGGACAAGGCTCTGTCCAGTTCTGAGGCAGAAGCCACAGGAGAAGGTGAAATGTATGCAAACCCTGAGGCAGGGGCTATACCCACTGAGACTCATGGTGGGGCAGGTGCTCAGGCTTATGAAAGGGCTCAGCCTAACATTCATGATTACTACTGGAATGGGATTGGTGTTGAGGATTGGATTGCTGCTGAGCGGTGGATCAAATTTAGGTTTCAGACCATGGATGGAGACTGGGAAAACAGTGTATCCTGGACTGATGAGGAGAATGCAGCCAGTGTTGGGACCTGGGGTGGGGCTAATGATAAAGCTGGCATTGTTAGTTCCTGGGCTGTAGCTTGTGATGAGACCAGCATTAAGTCCTGGACCGGGGCAAGGGCTGAGAATGAGGTTGCTCTTGGGTCCTGGGTAGGAGCTGGTGACCAGGCCAGTGGAGGACTCTGGGCAGGAGCTCAGGCTAGTGAGGGGGTCTGGGCTGGAGATAAGGCCAGTGGAGGTTCCTGGACTGGGACTGAGAACCAGATCAGTGCAGGCTCTTGGGTTGTCTCTGGGAACCAGGCCATTGCAGGGCCCTGGGCTGTGAGTCAGGTCAGTGATGGGACGTGGCCTACAGTACAGGCCAGTGGAGTGTCCTGGGTTGTGGACCAGGCTACAGGGGCCTGGACCGTGGCTGATAACCAGACTGGTGCAGTGTCTTGGACTGGAGCTGGGAACATAGTTAGTATTGGGTACTGGACTGGAGCTGTAGACCAGACCAATGCAGTGTCATGGACAGGGACTCCTGCTGAGCAGTCCGGTGCTGAGGCCAAGCCAAGATTTGAAGATCAAGCCAGTGAAAAGGCATCCTGGGCTGGTGCCAGTGGCCAGGCCAGTGGAGAGTCTAGGTTGGGACCTGAGGATCAGTCCAATGGAAGGTCTTGGGCTGACACTGCAGACCAACCCAGTGGGGGGTCCAGACTTGGAACTATAGACCCATCTAGTAGTGTGTCTTGGGCTGGCACCGGGGACCAGGCTGGTGGAGGACCAGCACAAGTCTCTACAGACCAAACCAGTGGTGGGTCCTGGACTGGGACTGCTGATCAGTCTGATGGTGGATCTAAGCCTGGTTTCGGGAATCAGACTAGTGATGAAGGGCCTTGGGCTGGAGCCAAGTCAGCACCTGAGGATCAGTCCACTGGGAGATCTTGGGCAGATTCTGGAGACCAAGTCAGTGGAGGGTTCTTGGTTGGAGCTTTGGACCAGTCCAACGGAGAGTCCCAGGCTGGGTCTGGGGAACTGGCTGCTGGTGGAGTTAATCCTGTGTTTGAAGATCAGGCCACTGGAGGAGGATGCTGGGCTGGTTCTGGGGACCAGTCTGGTGGAGAATCTAAGCAGGGGCCCAGGGACCCATCTAATGGAGAGTCCTGGCCTGGCACTGGGAGTCAGGCCAGTGGATGGTACTGCACTTACACTGGGGGTCAGGCCATTGGAGGAGGCTCTTGGGGTGGAGCTGGTGGTCTGATAGTTGGAGGGTCCAAGCCAGTGCATATGAGTCAGTCTAGTAGTGGGTCCTGGCTTGGCACTGGGACTCAGGTCAGTGGAGGGTCCTGGACTAATGATCCAGTTGGAGGAGGATTCTGGTTTGGTGCTGGAGACCAGACTAGTGGAGGGGCCAGGCCAGCAGTATCTGAGGATCAGTCTAGTGGAGGAGTTTCCTGGGGTGGGGCTGGTGGTCATGTCATTGGAGGGTCCAGAGCATGTCCCACTGTCCAGGCCAGTGGTGGGTCATGGACTGGAATTGGGAGTCAGGTCAGTGGAGGGTCCTGTGTTGGACCTGGGGATCAGGCTGGTGGCTGCTCTAAACCTGGATTTGAAGACCAGGCATGTAGAGGAAGCTCCTGGGTTGGTACTGGGGACCAGGCTAGTGGAGAATCCTGGCCTGGGTCTAGGTCTGGTAATGAGGCCAGTGGAGGAGCTACTTTGGAATCTCAGAACCAGGCCAGTGGAGGGTCCTGGGTTAGGTCTGAAGACCAGGCCAGTGGAAGATTCCTGGTCAGTGCTGAGGTGGAGGCCAATGAAGGATTCTGGTTTGGGCCTGGGAGTGAGGCCTTTATAGGGTCTTGGTGCTGGACAGAAGAGGCTACTATTTTGCCCATTACTGGTATTAAGGATGAGACTAGTACTGAATCCACATCAGGGACTGGAGAAGAGACCATCGTTAGCTCTGGGTTGGGAGATGAAAATAAGACTAGATCTGAAGAGGCAGCTTCTTTGAGCACATGTATTGAGGCTGAGGCTGAGGTTGAGACTGTGGCTGAGGGTGAGGCTAAAGTTGAAGGTGGAGCTGAGGCTGGGGCTAAGGCAGGGGCTGGGGCTGAGACTGAAGCTGGGGCTGAGACTGAGGCTGGGGCTGAGGCTGGGGCTGGGGCAGGGACTGAGATTGAGGCTGGGGCTGAGACTGGCACAGGGACTGAGATTGAGACTGGGGCTGGGGCTGAGACTGAAGCTGGGGGTGGGGCTGGGGTTGAGACTGAGGCTGTGGCTGAGGCTGAGGCTGAGACTGGGGCTGAGGCTGGGCCTGAGACTGAGGCCAAGGATGGAACTGGAGTGGAGACAGGGGCTGAGCCTGAAGCCAGAGTGGGGTTTTGGTCCTGGGATGGAGATGCAGCCACTAAAGGGTCTAGGCTTGTGACTGAGGCTGAGACTGGGGTTGAAGTTGGGGCAGAGGCTGGAGCTGAATCTGGGGCTGAGGCCACAGCAGGGTTTTGGTTCTGGGATGGAGATGCAGCCGCTAAAGAGTCTAGGCTTGGGACTGAGGTTGAGGCTGAGACTGAGACTGAGGCTGGAGCTGGAGTTGAGGCAGGGCCTGGAGCTGGAGCTGGAGTTGAGGCAGGGCCTGGAGCTAGAGCTGAACCTGGGGTAGAGAGCAGAGTGGGATTTTGGCCCTGGGATGGAGATGCTGCCACTAAAGGGTCTAGTATTGGGGCTGAGGTTGAGACCGAGACTGGATTTGGGGCTGAGGCTGCAGCTGCAAATGAGAGCAGAATGGGGTTTTGGCTCTGGGATGGAGATGCAGCCACAAAAGGGTCCAGGATTGGGGCTGGGGCTGAAGCTGAGGCTGAAGTTGGGGCAGGGGCTGGGGCTGAAGACAGAATTGGATTTTGGTCCTGGGATGGAGAGGAAGCCACTAAAAGGTCCAGGCTTGGGGCTGAGGCTGAAACTGGGGCAGGAGATGAGGCTGGAGCTGAGGCCAGAATGGAGTTTTGGTCCTGGGATGGAGATGCTGTCACTAAAAGGTCTAACCTTGGGACTGAGACTGGGGCTGAGGCTGCAGTTGGGACAACAGCTGGGGCTGGAGCTGAGGCCAGAATGGAGTTTTGGTCCTGGGATGGAGATGCAGTTACTAAAGGATCAAGGGTTGGGGATGAGGCTGAAACTGGGACAGAAGATGAGGCTGGAGTTGGGGCAGGCGCTAAGGCTGGGACTGAAGCTGGGGCTGAGGCAGGAATGGGGTTTTGGGCCTGGGATGGAGATGTAGCCACTAAAGGATCTAGGATTGAGACCGAGGTTGGGGCTGGGGCTGGGGCTGGGGTTGAAGTCGGGGCACAGGCTGGACCTGAATCTGGAGCTGAGTCCACAATGGGGTTTTGGTTCTGGAATGGAGATGCAACCACTAAAGAGTCTAGGCTTGGGGTTGAAGCTGAAGCTGGGGCTGGAGTTGGGGCAGAGGCTGGAGCTGAAGCTGGGGCTGAGGCCACAATGGGGTTTTGGTCCTGGAATGGAGATACAACCACTAAAGGGTCTAGGCTTGGGGCTGAGGAAGGGACTGGATTAAGGACTTGGACTTTTTCTACTGATATAGATGATGATGATGATGATGATGAGCTTAGTAGAGGATCCAGCCCTGGTATTGAAGAGATTAGTCTAAAATCCTTGTTTTGGGCTGAGAATGAGAATAATAATGACCTCAGCTCCAAGAGTGAAAAAGATGGCAACTTTGAGTCCGGGGAAGAGGATAAGGCCAATGCTAAAGTTAAGTTTGATGCTGCTGATGGAGTTGACATAAGGTCTTGGTTATGCACTGGTAACGAAAACAGAAGTGAGGACAACTCTACATCTAAGGCTAAAGCCAAAAAAGGAGCAGAGTCAAGAGGCACATATCCATCCATGGTCCCTGGGGCAGGAATGGGGCTATGGGATGGAGCCATTATTTGTTCAGAAACAAAGTTTCTGCGCCAATCAGGCTTTCTAGGCGAAGATGAGTTCCGAATACAGATCGTGACTGGGGACAAAATTCGGCCCTGGACTTGCCGCTGTAAAGAAGAAGCTAATATAGATCCACAAGATCTAGAAAAACTCATTTGCATGATCGAGATGACGGAAGATCCTTCTGTTCATGAAATAGCCACCAATGCTCTGTATAACAGTGCTGATTATCCTTATCCTCGTGAAATTGTTCGGAATGTAGGTGGAATCTCAGTTATCGAAAGCTTATTGAATAATCCCTACCCCAGTGTCAGGCAGAAGGCTTTAAATGCACTGAATAACATCTCAGTAGCTGCTGAAAACCATAGGACGGTTAAAACATATTTAAATCAAGTATGTGAAGATACTGTCACCTATCCCTTAAATTCAAATGTTCAGGTGGCTGGACTAAGATTGATAAGGCATCTGACTATTACTAGTGAATATCAGCATATGGTTACCAACTATATTTCTGAATTTCTCCGTTTGTTAGCTGCGGGAAGTGGAGAAACTAAAGACCATGTTTTGGGAATGCTTGTGAATTTCTCTAAAAATCCATCCATGACAAAAGACTTGCTCATTGCCAATGCACCAACTGCACTGATTAACATTTTTAGCAAGAAGGAGACAAAAGAGAACATCCTTAATGCTCTTTTGCTATTTGAAAATATAAACCGCCATTTTAAAAAAAGAGCAAAAGCATTTCCCCAAGACAAGTTCAGTAAAAATTCTCTTTATTTCTTATTTCAACGACCTAAAGCCTGTGCCAAGAAACTTCGAGCCTTAGCAGCAGAATGCAGTGACCCAGAGGTGAAAGAAAGAGTTGAGGTATTAATAAATAAACTCTGATCAGCTAAATGTTCCCAAACGAATTGGAGTAACACTTTGGTTTTACATCCTAGAAGTGATGTGCATTGTAAATTGCAACACAACTGTGAAACTGATGTTGCCTATGATGGTCTATAGCTGGACAATTTTATGAATACCAAATTAATTCAAACTTGTTCTGGAAATACGTGTGTCAATTTTTATCTTGTCTGGATTGAGATATTTTTAGTATGCTTCATGAGCAGAAACTGAACCGATTTCTTCATAAGTAAGGTAATCTTTGGTCCTTTGTGTGGACTTATGTTTATACATTTGAGACTTTATTTTTATGTCATCAATAAAGTTGTGTGTTTTAAGAAGGAAAAATGAGTCATTGTCTTCATCCTTGGGTTTATGATCTTGTTAGGAAAACAAGACATATGGAAATAAAATCAGGAGTCTTTTGGTCAGAGGCAAATCAGTGAGTAAAGGCAACAGAAACTGCCGTGTGCACTGTACTCCAGCACATGTTTCACAGAGAAGGGGACTTTTAAGTAAGCTGAGCTTGAAGAATATGATACAAAAGGTCAGAAAGCCATTTGGGCAGGGAAGATGGGTGGAAGAAAGGGAAGGAGGTGGGAGTCCAGTCCCAGAGAGGAAGCTTGGGCAATCTGGGTGGAAAAGCTTCAGAAGGGGCATAAGAGGAGACAGAGTTGGGAAGCTGGCATGAATCCTGTCCATGGAGCAACACTGACTGTTAATCTATGGTTTCTGAATAGTATGCCTATCTGTGAGAGACAGCAAGAACTTTCATGACCAGAGGATGAAAGGAAAATGATATGGTTGATTTGTTTAGGGTGGGTCCAATTTGGAATGAGGATAGGACTGGTGACTAAGAGAAACATCAGCTAGGAAGTTACCACCATAGTCTAGGCAAGAGGTGATAAATGGGCTGGAGGGATGACTCATCAGCTAAGAGCACTGACTACTCTTGCAGAGGACTCTTGTTCAGTTCCCAGCACCCACATGCCAACTAACAATAGTCAGTAACTCCAGTTCCAAGGGATCTGACACCCTCTTCTGGGGCATTGCACACATGGGTGTACTTACATCCATGCAAGCAAAACACTCATGCCCATAAAATAAGGATAAATATATTTTTTTTAAAAAAAAGAAGTGTTAAGCTAGGCGTGGTGGTGCATGCGTCTAGTCCCATAGGATGGAAGTAAGAATGTCCCCTCCTTCTTTTGTCACAGAATCTTCCGCAGCCCTTGGATTCACTATATAGTTCAGGCTGGACTTGAACCCATGGTAATCTTCTTATCTCCGTCTCCCAGATGTTGAGATTGCTGGCCTGAGCCACCATGCTTGGGGTCAGAAACCCTTGTACTGAGAAGGTGCTCCAACCTATTCTGGAGACATATAAAGAGGACCAATTTTACCTTAGGATTGTGGGATCCCTGGGAACATATCTTCTTTTATGACCAACTTTGGTGTCTATAGAAGTGAATAAGAGAATTGCTGTTCTGGAATAATTTTAGAAAATCATTGCAGAGAGTCATTTTAAGTACTGCTATCAAGATTTCTTTTGTAAGGTCGGTTGGGGTGGGGTTTCAATGGAACCATCAAGAGTGATGTTGGGGTCAATGGAAGATGCATTTCTCTCTTACCTCAGAACGTTGGCAAGGGTACATGTATGTGTGTGTGGAGGGGTGGTGAGGGATGTTCAAATTCTGTGGCTGGGAGCATACAAGGTATGCTATTGGGCATTTAGGTCCTTATCTGCTGCCTTAGTTTCCCTGTGTTTACAAAGAAACTAAGAAAAAATTAGTGAAGGAAAGTGGATTTATTTGCAGTGGGAGTCTTTCAATTTCTAGAAAACCATGACACAAAGTCCAGAATATATACAAATTTAGCTCTGAGACAGTTTAACTGGTCCTTTTGTGAGGTCGCAATTTGCCTCCATTGTCTCTCTTCTCAGCAAGTGCCCTCCATTTTTTCAGGGTGAAGGGACGTGCACATCTCTCTTTAAAATTTGTTATATTTCTGTTCCACCTGAACTCCAGCTCATTCTCTTTAGCATGCAATCATGGTGACAGGTATGATGTTCATTGACTCATATGTTTCAAAGCCTTTAAAGTGTTCATGCCATATCTTTTTTCTTTTTTGTCTTTTCTTTTTTACACTTTATTTTTTGTATGGGGGTGGGTGTCACAGCGCACATGCAGAGGTCAAAGGACAACTTGGGGAAGTGAGTTCTGTTTTTCCACTGGGTGGGCTCTGGGGATTGAACTCAGGCTGTTAGGTTTAGCGGCAAGTGTCTTTGCCTATTGGGACATCTCACTAGCCCTGTGAACACCCTTGGGACATCTCACTAGCCCTTTGTACACCCTTGGGACATCTCACTAGCCCTGTGTATGCCCTTGGGACATCTCACCAGCTCTGTGTATGCCCTTGGATATGGTAATTCCACTTGTAGAAATCCGTCTTTAAGAACTAATCAAATAGCAGGCATCTATAAAGTTGTCTATCTTCAGATTGTTTCGAAGGGTGAAAAAGCATAAAGTCAGTCATTTAAAATGTTAGTAGACATCTACCTTTCCTACAGAAAATTCAGTTTGCACTCTTAAGAGGAAAACAAACTAAAAGAATATATAATGTTTTTTTTTATGAAGAAAGAGTATGTATTTAAAATATCTCTAAGGGGTTGGGGAAGTGACTCAGTAAAGTGCTTGCTATGTAACCATGAGGACTTGATTTTAGCTCTAAAAAATTTATTTTTTATTCATGTGTATGAGTATTTTGCCTGCATGTATATAAGTACACCACATGTGTTCAGTGCCCTCAGAAGCCAGAAGAGACTGTTGGATCCTTTGGAACTAGAATTATAGATAGTTGTTAGATGCCATGTGGATGCTGGGAATTGGACCTGAATCCTTTGCAAGAGCAGCCAAGTACTTTTTATTTTTTGATTTTTATAAGTTGAAGTTTTAAGATATTTAAACAAAATCCATTATTTTAATAAAAAAATTGAAAATAAGAGACAATGATTTCTGTTTACAGGTCAGGAGCTTGAAAATTTTAATTCTATACCTCACAATAAAAACCTGTACAAATTGAAAGGAAAAAGCACTCTTACTTCATAAAAGTAGTGACTCCGTGTGGAGAAATGCTTCTAAAATAGTGCTTAGATAAGCCAACACCTAGAGTCACAGCTTAGCACATCAACTGCTTAATAAGGGAAGATGCCCACTGCTGGAGATAGAATCAAAGTTATTCTAATGAAAAGAACTACACATTAGAGAGCAGATTTAAGAAGTCTCCTGGGAAATTCAAAGACACCAGGGGACAGAAGGACTCCAACAAGGGAGACATTTAGGCAACAATCCCTACAGCATCGGAAATGGCAACACATTGCAATGCACAGCCCCAAAATAGTTACATCTTTAAGGTAAAGGTTTACTTGGCTCAATTAACGTATGTAAACATGTTCTTCTAAAGATCAACCCATTCTAGAAGGGAAAATACTTTAAAAGAAAATGGTTGGAAGTGATAAACCATGAACAGCATGCATAGACAATTCAGGTACGGTTGGCAGGCATTTTGGAATTTGAATATTGGGAATTCAAAATAATTCGGCTCTTAATGGAAAAGCAGACATATGAGTGCTGAGGGATGAAACAAGGAGACAGACAGATGGGACTCTTGTGAAACACGCAAAAGGAACGGAAACATTTCAGTTTGTTCTATTTTTAGAAATGATAGAGAACATTGCCAAAAAAAATTTTCATAAATTAGTAAAAACTGATCAACACCCGAGAGGTCTAATAAAACAAAAAAACAATCACTCTATTTCATCAATGTAAGGGAAATCTTCATTACTTATTCCAGGGAAGATACTTTTCATACAGTAGAATTTGTATTCATAGAGTATTACGCAAAATTTAAAACAGCTCTAAGCAAAAGAATACTTAACAAATTCTGCAAACAGGAAACCTCAATTGGCAGCCAAGTGCTTTTAACCAATGCTCGATCTCTCCAGACCCAGGACCTGAGTTTTGATCTTCAGCACTTAATGTAAAAAACCAGGTGCTGTGGCACTTCCCTGTAATCCTAGTGCTGGGGAGGCAGAGACCGGATGATCTCTGGGGCTGTTTGGCCAGCTGATCTAGCAAATCAGTGAACTCCAGGTTCAGTGAGTGCCTGAAAAAAACAAAGCGGAGACGCAATAGAGGAAGAGGCCCAAGTTGACCTCTGGCCTCTATGTGCATATGAACTTTCACACATGTACATACACATAAATCTTTAAATATAAACTGGTACATACTTTGAGAACATTAATAGTTTTCTATTGGTGTTAGATTGATGGGAGATTTTTATCTTTTTTAAAAAATATTTATTTTATTTTATGTGTATGACTCTATGCCTGCATGTTTATATGTGTACCACATGACTGCCTGGTGCATGAGGAGGCCAGAAGAGGATGTCAGATCCCCTGAACTGGAGTTACACATGGTTGTGGGCTGCCGTGTGGAAGGAACCTGGGTCCTCTGCAAGAGCAGCAAGTGCTCTTAACTGCTGAGCTATCTCTTCAGTCATTATCTCTTTTTAAAAACTCTTCTATATATTTTTTCTATAACAATTAGAGATATCGTTCATAATTTACCAAAAACAAACAAACAAAAAAGGATTTGGGATGGATTGGCAATAATGCCAATGACATTTGAGGGGCCTAGAGCAAAAAGTCTAAGTAGAAGTTCGCATATTTATATCTAAATATCTGAAAGGTAGAATTCATAATTTAAATAGATGCTCAAGCAAAACTAGAAATGTTCACAAATTTTAGTCTTCTAAACTCTTTTTTATTGGTATTTTTTGAGACAGGGTCTCCCTGGAGCCCCAGCTGGCCTGGAACTCTATATATAGACCAGATTGGCCTTGAGTTCACAGAGATCTGCCTGCCTCTGTCTCCAGAGTGTGGGAATTAAAAGTGTGCGCCACCACACCCGGCTTTCTTCTAAACTCTTTTATAAAATATTAGCAGTCTAAGTGCACATACCTATAGTCATACCTACACAGAAGGCAGAGTCAGGACAGTTGAGTTCAAGGCTAGCCTGGGCAAACTTGTGAGACTTTATGAAAACAAAGTAAAAGAAAGCAAAATGATTCTCAGTATTTGATAACTATATACTTTTCATTGTAAAGAAATGATTATCACGTCATAGATTCTGTACAAGGTTGTTCACCAAGAAAGTAAACACTGGTTGGCTTTGGGGACACAAATTAGACTTTATAGAAATAGAGTATATAAATGCCAGAATTGCCATCAAGGATACTGGAATTAAAGGAATTAAAGATTTAGATAAGTGTGAATGATAGAATAAATA